CATCCATCCATTGATCCATCCATCCTTCATTTATCATTCTCTAGCCATTGATCCATTCATCATCCATCCATGTCTCTGTCCATTCATCCATCCATCCATCCATCCATGACCTCATCAACTCATTGAAGAGGTATGATTTTAGTCAACCAAACTTTTTAAACCTTGCAGTGTTACAGCACACATTACAACACTGTTTATTGTATCTTTAAGATATACGACAGAAGGTAATTATTTCATTGTTCTCAAATATCGATGAAACTTTGATATGCATTTAGAATAAGCAAAAGGAAGAGCAAGCAGAGAGTGAATAAACAAAAAGGAAGCAAACAGAGAGCTTACCCCCTGCACAAAAACTCTAATCCAGACAAATTCACTCATTGCACTGACTCCATGCCGCCTGGCATTTAAGCCGCAATTTGCAGCCACTGCTCATTAAAATGTGCTATTTCTGGCTGCTCGTTTTAGGTTTCAGGAAGAAAAAAAATACATGGATAATTCAAAACTCACTCATGCAAGAAAATCCTCTCACTACTTTCTGCTAGACTTGCTCGTGTTCAAATTCGGATTCATCAGCCTCTCACTGGCATAAGCAAGTCAATATTAGCAGGTTTAAGTATCATAACTCAACTCCAAACAATTCAATATTAACAGTTGCATAATAAAACTCAAGCAGCACAGCTAGGACGAGAGGTGCAAGTACGACAATCACACAGAGAAAGTTACAGTCTACAGCAGTTTATATGGAGAGATGCTGGTGTGCCAATACAACGAACACAGAAATCATAACATTCAAAAACTCCATCAGTAAATTATGATGATAGTGCTGTGTAATGATGATTAGAACAGGTATTTTCTGGCTTTAAGTTTGTATCATAATTATACCTCACACAGATAAAGACAATGTGATTTTATGTAAAAATGGTGTTATTATCACCTGCGGGGAGATTAAAGCTCTTTCGATTGGATCCAACAGAGCACAGGATCTTAAAAAAAAAGGAAGAGAAAATTAGCAAATGCCAGCTAAAAACGCTCATTCATTTCAAAGAAGGACGTTTTTGTACCGCATGTTTTCATTTGTTTGTTTCTAATTTTCACATTTTCTTTTCCTGCTGCAAATTGACCTTGATGGTTGCTTGATGGTGATTAAAGCTCACAGAGTAGAAAATGATATATTATTGGCACATCTTCTTAGTGTATGCGTGTCTATACGTCTGCATACCCTCTCTCCTCAAACACTGTCACACATACAGCGATTATCAACATTTACTTTTTTTTTTTCAAAAACATTTATTATAAATCTCAGTCATTTTGATTTCCCTTCATATTATACTTATTTCATTCCCTGTAAATGCAATTTTAAATTCTCTGGTTGCAATTTTTTTCCTACGTCACTTATTAATGAGCACCCAAAATTTGAACCGGCAACACAACTTTATTCAATGAATTATATAATGACTTGAAAAAGCGCTGGAAGTCTGGCAAAAGCTCCCATAAGGTGGGCTTGAGATTGATAAGTAAAGACTTAACTGAACACCATAAGAATTAGTTTTTGTCCATAACTAAAGTATCCACACTGGCCCGATTACATCATCCTATCATCAACCTTTAACTTTGCTGAAGTCTTTACCCATTGTATTCATCTTTTTTGCCGCTTTAAGCGTTAAAATCCTCGATCCCACGGCCTTTAAAAGCTTCCACTTTCCTCAGCTTCTGTGGGGAGTTCACCTTTTGAAAGCTGCATCAACGACCACACCCAGAAAAACAAACCTCAGTCAGAGCTGATAGATCAACGAGCACAAACAGTCACATTTGGCCTTATCAGGGGAAGCTCAGCGGTGCATAATTTATAGCCAAATACGTCGCCTTGCAGGAAGAGACAGAAATACAGCGACGGAAAAAGAACAGTGACAACGTCAGCAGACACA